TGGGACCTGGGGTCTCAACCCGGGGTCAGGGCTGGAACCTGGGACCTAGTGGCTCCAGCACAGCTTTAATGCTCTCACTCCTCAGGCCAGTCCTTCCAGGTGAGTCCCCCTGAGCCTGAGGTAGCTGTGGCCATGGGCACATCCCTCCAGATCACCTGCAGCATGTCCTGTGACAAGGGTGCAGCCCGGGTGCATTGGCACGGCCTGGACACCAGCTTGGGCAGTGTGCAGACCCTTCCAGGCAGCAGTATCCTCTCCATACGAGGCCTGCTCTCAGACACAGGCACTCGTGTGTGCGTGGGCTCCTGCGGGACTCGAAGCTTCCAGCACTCGGTGAAGATCCTTGTGTATGGTGAGGCCCACTCTGCCTTTCTAGGTGCCACCTACCCCAGGGGAATCAGGACCTTGCACCATACCAATACCATCACCCACCAAGTCCCCACACTTCTCTGCCCCATACTCCACCCTGTAGACCTTCAAGGCTGACACAACCACTCTTCCTGTCCCAACCAGCCATGGCTGCCCTATCACTCTAAACTTACCTCTGCCTGGCCCAGCCCTGACCTCCAAGCTCAGCCCTGGGCCCCACTATTGATCCACAGCCTTCCCAGACCAGCTGGTGGTGTCGCCGGAGTTCCTGGTACCTGGACAGGACCAGGAAGTGTCCTGCACGGCCCACAACATCTGGCCTGCAGACCCGAACAGTCTCTCCTTTACCCTGCTCCTGGGAGAGCAGAGACTGGAGGGTGCCCAGGCCCTGGAACTAGAGCAAGAAGAGGAGATTCAAGAGGCTGAGGGCACACTGCTGTTCCGAATGACACAACACTGGTTGTTACCCTCCTTGGGGACTCCCACCCCTCCTGCCCTGTACTGCCAGGTCACCATGCAGCTGCCCAAACTGATGCTGACCCACAGAAGAGAGATTCCAGGTAAGGCCACTGGGTCCTTTCTGACTCAGCAGCTCTGGAACTTAGACCATGATTGCTTGTCCCCACCTGTAGATCCCTAACCAAACTGTTCAATGTCTGTCCCACAAGGCAGCCAGAGAAAAGGTTAACTGAAAAGATGAGAACCTACACTGTGCTAGCCCCAGCATGATATTTCTTTCATTTTCTGTTCACAAATTCTTGGCTTTGCCTAGCTGAGTGGTGACAGTGCATATCTTTAATTCCAGAACTCAGGAAACAGAGCCGGGTGGCTCTCTTGAGTTTGAGGCCAGACTGGTCTGCAGAATGAGTTCCAGGACAGCCAAGGCTACACAGAGAAATCCTGTCTTGAAAAACCAAAGTAGCCGGGCGGTGGTGGCGCACGCCTTTAATCCCAGCACTTGGGAGGCAGAGGCAGGTGGATCTCTGAGTTCGAGGCCAGCCTGGTCTACAGAGTGAGTTCCAGGACAGCCAGGGCTACACAGAGAAACCCTGTCTCGAAAAACCAAAAAAAAAAAAAAAAAAAAAGAAAGAAAAAGAAAAACCAAAGTAAATAAATAAAATATAAACAGTGGCCTGGTAGACTTACATAGGAACCAGTATCCAATAACTGTTCTGTGTCATCAGCTCCTGGTCCCAACTACTATGATGCCCTGTGTCTCTTGAGTGATGGGGGAGGGGTGTTGGAGGGGTTCTGGACCAATACTGGGCTGCAGATGAGGAAAACAAAGCTACAGGAAGAACATTCATTCTGTCTGCAGTGCTAGGGAGCCAGACCTCACCTGAGCCCCGGAACACGACCTCTGCTGAGCTCTATATCCTGACCTCGTCAAGTACTGCTGAAGCAGGAGCCACTGGGCTCAACATCACGGCCCTGCCTTCTACCCCTCCACACCCCAAGCTCAGCCCTAGGACTCTGAGCTCTGAGAGACCTTGCCGCCCCCAAATCCACCAGGACCTGGAGACAGGCTGGGAGCTCCTGTGCGAAGCATCCTGTGGGCCTGGAGTGACCGTGCGCTGGACCTTGGCTCCTGGCGACCTGGCAGCCTACCACAAGGAGGAGGCCGGGGCCCAGGCACGGCTAAGCATGCTGCCCCCAGGTCCCATTCCAGAGGGTTGGTTCCAGTGCTGCCTGGACCCTGGCGGGCAGGTGACCAGTCTGTATGTTCCTGGCCAGGTGACTCCAAATCCCTGTGAGTGCTGGGGCCCTGGGAGGGAGGGACAAATGGGACTAAAATGCTAGTGGGGGGTCTGTGCCATGCCTAGCCTCAGTTTACCCTAAGTTCAGTATGCTTTCCTACCTGTGAGACCACTTAGAACTTGAAGCACCTTGCAGATTTTCAGAGGCAGGGAGGTTCTGTGAAACAAACAGTAAAAAAAAAAAAAAAAAGTTTTTAACGTTGGTTTCATATGCCCGAGGCTGGCTTCAAACTTGCTTCATAGCTAAAGGTGACCATGATCTTCTTGCCTTAGCCTCTTCAGTGCTGAGATAACAGGTGTGCACCACTGTGACACATGTCTTATGGCTGAATTTTAAAATGTTAATTGGGTCTGGAGTGACAGATGGCTCAGAAGTTAAGAGAACTCAATGGTCTTGCAGAGAACCCGGGTTCTCTCCCCAAAAGATGGCTCACAAACACCTGTAAGTCCAGATCCAGGGGACACAACCCATCCTTGTGGCCTCCAAGAGCACCGCATGCATGTGGCACACATATGTACCTGAACACTAAGAACTCCTGCATATCAAAATAAGACAGGCAGGTATGGTGGCACACGCTTTTAATCCCAGCACTCAGAAGGCAGAGACAAGAAATTCATAGCCACTTGTAACTCCAGTACCCAGAGACTTGATGCCCTCCTCTGACTTCCAAGGGTACCTGCATGTATGTGGCACACACAGAGACATACACACACATACATAAACAAAAAATAAACATTAAAAAAAATAAATCTTGCTGGGCAGTGGTGGCGCACGCCTTTAATCCCAGCACTTGGGAGGCAGAGACAAGCGGATTTCTGAGTTCAAGGCCAGCCTGGTCTACAGAGTAAGTTCCAGGACAGCCAGGGCTACACAGAGAAACCCTGTCTCAAAAAAAAAAAAAAAAAGAAAAGAAAAAAAAAAAAAAAAAAGAAAGAAAAAACAAAAAAATAAAAATAAAATAAAAATAAATAAATAAATAAATCTTAAGCCAGGTGGTGGTGACATACACCTTTAGTCCCAGAGGCAGGCAGATCTCTGAGTTCAAGGCCAGCCTGGTCTATAGAGCAAGTTCCAGGAAAGCCAGCCAGGACTACATAGAAGACTCTTGTCTCAGAAAAACAAAACAGACAAAAAAAAATCAAACAAAACAAAACATAGAACTAAGCTGGGCATAATGGCGCACAGCTATGACCTAAGTACTTGGGCAGTAAAAGCAGAAGGGTTATCAGCCTAAGCTACAGTGAGACCCTCGTTTAAAAAGGTTTCCCATTAAGTATGTTCCTTCTTCCATGCTGTCTTTGAGTATGTCTGGTTGGGTGGCTGTTTTCTACCCAAGTAGAGGCCAGCTAGTTGATAATACTGCTTTTCAACTGTAAAGGCCCATGTACAGTTCCCTCTGTGGAGCCCGCAGGCAGTGGGACTGGTGACAGCCTTTCTTCCTACTCTTTCAGACTCTATCATCGCCCTATGGATTGGCAGCTTGGTGCTGGGGCTGCTTACACTGGCCTTCCTTGCCTACCGCCTGTGGAAATGCCTGTGGAAATGCTACCAGCCAGGTCCTCACCAGCACGCCAGCTCGTGCACACTCCTATGAAGCTTGATTATGCCAGACTAAAGGAAGCAGAGAGTGATCAGCTGTAGGATTTGGGGCATCAAGTTGATAATGTGGCCACTTTCCTTGGTGGTCAGCACATCTATAAGCTCCTCCTGGCTACTGAGCTTTCCTGTCTGTTGGCCCATAGCTAAATAAAGGCCCCATATCTAGCCACCGGTGTATTCATTCGTACTGTGAATAGGAAGGCTTTATGAATCTCCTATCCCTACACCCAGAGTCCCTGAAGACAGGCACACATCCTCAGCTACCTTTGTAGGCCCGAGCAACAGGCAGGAGGATACTAGACTGGGAAATGCCAGCATTTAACAAGAGTAACTAAGGAGGTACCCAATAGCCTGGGAAAAGTTCTTGGCGGGGGGGTGGTGACCCGGGAAAACACGAAGAGCGGTATGGATGCCGGACAAGGGTATAAACACGATGTCAGTAGATAAACAGCCAAAGATAACACAGAAGCAGGACATGCGAGGATACTAGAGAGCCACAGCAGTTCAGAGTTACAAGGAGAGCAACCACCTCTGGTGGTCAGCAAGGGTAACAGTCTGGGGAAGGAAGGGGAATCTGGTGAAGACTCCGCTCAGCCAGGCCAAACGCTGGAAAGAGACAAAGTGAGGACAGAAACCCGGAAGAGCCAGGCCGAGTCTAAGAGCAAACGCAGAAAACGGTCTGAACCCCGCTTTCAGCCCTGGATTCCTGGCGGGCTCTGTGGGGTTTCTCTGGTACCCAGGTGCTGGTTGCTAGGAGACCGTGCGTAGGAAGACTTGCCCACTACCAAGATGGCAAGGTATCGCGCTTCAAGCCAGAAACCAGCCCTTCCTGGGGAACCATTTTGAAGTCTGGCAAGCTCACGAATCCAGACCGAAGAGACGCAGAGAAAGCCAGTTCACAGGGTAAAAGGTAGCCTCTGCTTGTCATTATCGAGAGTCGGGGGGG